CTTCTTCAAAACAGGCTATCGGACCAGACGGGCATCACATTTCTCTCAGTGTGGCATCTTCACTAGGTGTCTCATTACCAGCTGACTCTCTGGCATCTCAAATCTCATCCTTAGTGTGCAAATACATTATTCTGTTGTATACACCACTTTTTTTCCTTATTTTAATTGGAGTACCAATTTAATTTCCACCTGCCAAATGGCTTCATTCAGTACAAGGTGGTATAAATGGTAACCGAGAGGATTTATGCTCTTGAATGAGGGGTTAACTTTTAGCGACCTTGCTGCGTCAGGCTAGTTCCTCTGCTGCCTTCTTCACATGGGTATGTTGATGCACAGGTTAAAAATGCCTCTTCTGTTCTTCTCCTAAGCCTCTCCTGTGCAGACACTCCCAAACTGAAGCCTGGTAACATGCCTTCTTCCTCTGCAGAAGGGGAGCTGGAGGCAGAATGGCTGCAAGACGTAGGTTTATCTACCTTGATCTCGGGAGCTGAAGAGGAGGATGGCCAAGCCCTGCTGTCCACTCTGACCAGAACTCAAGCTGCCGCCGTACAGAAGAGGTACAACACCTACACTCAGACCCTGAGAAAGAAGAACAAGCACACAGTCCGCGATGTGAGAGACATCTTTGGCACCAATGACTCTCCTGTAAGTAGCTCATGCATCCTAGCGAATGCTTTTGAGCTTAATTTTTATGTATTTTTCAAGTAGCTCATCAAAGCTTCTAGCAGACAGGAACCCTTTTCTACTGACAATGTACAGACAGCCAGTAGTAGTTCCTGACGCTAAGTCCAGACTTTTAATGCTGTATTTACTATATTTGGAGAGGAAAGGAAGAAACCAAAGAAAATAGATGGTGCACAGTTTTGCAGCTAACCTGAACATAATGTTGTATCTGTTGCCAGCCTTCCTCCTGCAATCTCCTATCAAGACTAACATTTACTCCTTTATTTTTTGGAAATTGGTGAGTTACTCTTGGCAGCTATTCAAATTTTTGCTGGCTTCTGGGGACACTTGCTATTTACTCAGCAGTCTCAGGGGTGAAGTAAAACTTCCATAATGAAGCAACTGGGGTTCAAATATGCATAAGCAATTAAACACCTGCCAGCATGATTGCAACTGGTACACTGGCAGTTACATTTCACTTACGTAGCAAATGAAAATCTATTAACTGTTCATTTGCTTCATGGCTTCAGAAATGAGCATTACCTCTGGTGGTTTCATCCGCTTTTCCCTGAGGATTGCTCTAAATGCACCAGTTCCTATCCCCACACGTTTTGATTTTGGTGAATGCAGTTAATTGTGTGAGTTCAGTCCAATGCTCAAAGCAACACGCATGACTTTACATATGTCACTTACAATATCTTAAATGGGAGTCACCAATAAGATCACAAGCTCACCTTTGAAATTAATATAAAAGTTCTTGCCATTACAAAACTCCAAGAAACACTTTTTCATTATGAAATTGCATTGTCCTTTTCTATTTGTCTTACCTTCTCCTCAAGGCTTGGCATCCTGGATGATTTTAAAACAAAAAATTGGGAAACAAAACTGTAGCTGCATAGTTATACTAAAATTACAAAGATATAATTGTGGGTAGTTAACTTACTTGTCTCTAATTTCAGTATCTGGGCTCTTTTGAACCTCTTGCACATATCCCACAAATATATATCCAGAAGCATCCAGTTGTTTCCCGTGGGCAGACTTTCTTGCATGAGAAATCATCAGGCATGTTTGCATGAACATTAAAAAGCTGATGGTAATTCTTACTAGATTAGCACTCTTCTCCTAATTCAAGTATCTATAAACCTTAATACATTTTAAATTTTTAAAAATTATAATAAAGCTTAAGTTTCCTAATAAATTTCAATCAGCCAAATAAATGTTGTACCTGTTCTCTCAGATGGGCACACTATTGATCTAGTTTTGACCTGCTTATTTTTCACCTCTATTTCTCACTTGCTAAAGGGATCAGGAGCTTCAGAGACATTGCCCTTCAAATCACTGTTTTACCTCCTCTAAAATTCAGCTCGCTTACAAGTTCCACATTGTGAAAATCTGAAAGCTAAGGCTGAATAAATAATTAAGACTTCTAATTCTTTTTCCTACAAAAAATATGCAGTTCTGTAGGGTGCTCACCTAGAGGTTAAACACAGATACACAAAAACAGCTGCACACCATCACCTCCCTTCAATGGACAGCAAAACAGATTGTATTTCCAAAAGCCTGCAAAGTTCCCAGCAGCCTTTTGGCATTCCCATTAACCACTGCTCCTATCTCTGCTGCTTATTATGGGATTTAGAAACTTTGTCCTAATTATCAGCTCCTCAGGGATAAACACACTGCCGGGGGGCTTGTGCCCCCACCTGCAGGTTTCCCCAGCACTCCTTTGTAAGGGGGTACCAGCTGAAGCAGTCCCTCAGGTTCTGCTGCTGCTTTGGGCATGGCACTACAGCTGTCAGTGAATCTTTGTGATGAATCCGTTTGGGAAAGTGATCCGCATTAAAAACAGCCCAACCAAAAAAGAAGAGTGACAGGGAGGGGCAAATCTTTCCAGCACAGCTGCTGAAGAGAGGATGGTAAAAAGACTGCTTGAAATGACGTGCAGGAGTTTTGCTTTCCCATCCTGCTTTTTAGTTGGGAAGGAAAGAAGTAAATGTGTTGCAAATAGCAAAACAGCTCTAATTGTTTCACATAACCCTATAATCCTCCCCATTAGGAGGATTACACCTTCCTCCCAACAACCTAAGCATTGCAGAAGCCTAGAGGGATGGGTCACAGGAAGGATTACTCTCTTCTGTGGCTAATGATGAGAGAAAAGGTGATTAGCTCACTAGGGTCACCTGAGATGAGATTTAGAGGACCACTGAAGAGGCATAAATAGTTGTTCATCTGGCTAGGGGAAGAGATTTGCCCTATTTTTTTCTCTCTGTTCTGAAAAATCCTGCCTGCTAGATGTTTTGCTATTGCTGCCTGGTGGCCAGTCTCAGTGTGGGTCAACACAGAGCGAAGGGTGCTTTTCCCTCACCCTGCCTTGAGATCCATCCCCTCAGGGCAGGAGCGTTCACTCAACAGCCCAAGTGGACTGAAATGAAAGGTAATGAAGCCATACTTCCTTTTTCTGCTTGGTGGTGGTTGTTTGGTTGGTTTGTTTTCTGTTGCCCGCCCTGGAAAGGTGCCATGGTCCTGGGGGCAGCGTGCAGCACCGGGGGTACCTTGCCCCTCCGAGAGCGAAGCCTTGGCGGAGCAGCCTGCCCCATCTCAGCTGCCTCTGCTCTGCTTCAGACAGGCTTACACCCAGCAGGCTCCACTGACAGCCATGCTGCCGAGATTTAAATTGGATGGTTTATTAATCACAGTGGCCTGATTTTCCTTACTACTGGTACCCTGCTGCTTCCATCAGAAGCTATTGGCTCTGCTAGTGCTCAAAGCCCAGAAAAATCAACAGCAGAATACAAATGGGGCGGAACACTGCTTTTGTTGTTGGAGGGAGGAAATGAAGCATCATGCTCATTAACAGCCCAACTCTGTACGTTGTGATCAGCTAAAACTCCTCAAGAGTCTTAGGAAGATTTTACTTGAGCAACGCATGAGAAAATCATGTCCTAATTAAAGAAGAATCACTAACTAACCCAGAGCTATTTGCATGAAGAGGTATCTGTGATGACAGTGCTTGAAAATAGGAATACATCCAAAGCATGGGCAACTTGTACCTTGACCAGAGCTATAAGGCTATTCTTTGCCTTTATTTCCCTTGGCTGCAGGGCTGACATTAGAATTTGGTTGCTTTGGTGCTCCAGTGATTTGTTTTTACATCTTCTACAATGAGGGTAGCTACTAAAGAACTATCTGCCTCATCTCCATCTTCTCCTCGCTCTTCTGGTTTCCTCTTCCCATTGGAAATTCCTGTGTACATTGTACCAGTAAACACTGGGCTCATTTTTAGTATTGGATAATGAGAACTGTCTAATGAATCACTTCAGTCAGAAATCAGGATATGAGAAGTCTTGCCTTTGCTGGAGCTCCAGCCAAATGAATAAAACTGTCCCGATTTAGTTAAGGACACAATTTGACCCTTGCCCTTTCACATTCATTAAGACATGAGCTTCCAAAGGTTTTTAATCTTCTTTTTTACTAAAGAAATAATCTGGATCTTTAAAATTCATGCATTAAAAAGGTTTTATTCCCAGTCTTCCCTTTCTTTTTGTCATGCTATCCTAAGATTTAAAAAAATGGGGGGAGTGGGGACGTTGGTCCTGTTTGGAACAGATTTTCACAAAAGAGACATAGATTTGGCTTCTTTATACACTCTCACTGTGGAGGCTGGGAAATGAGACCCAGAATATGACGTTTTTAGCTACCCCTGATAGCTGTGCCCTCAGCCCCTCTGCCTGCAGCCGCCTCACTAGTGATTTCACCTGTGCAACAAGGCTGGAAGGATTTTTTTCCTTAATAAACTTGACTCACTGTAAATCTATTCTGAATGCTGTTCACAGGGTCAGATGTTTTGAGCAGTGAAAGTAGATGGGTCAGTTGCTGATGTTTACCATTAATTTTTCCATCTGGATCTTAAGCAGCAGAATAACTGCTTTTATATTTGATTTTCCCAAATTGATGAGGCAAGTTTAACCATCCCCTCCGCTTCCATACTCGCACCTGAAATTTATAACACTTTTTTATGTCCTAAAACCTTTTGTGTAAATGTGATAGGATTTTATCATAAAAAGATCCTACAGTTCTGCTTTTAAAAAAATCAGTGGTCCTTGTAGTCTTCTGGAAAAGGAAGTCCATGTGACTCAAATCCTGTTTGCTATCAAGTTTGCGGGCCATTGAATGGACTCGCTCAGGAGAGATTTTATTCGTGTAACATTTGACTTTGTTACCCAAATAGCTCAGAGGATAAGACTGAATGAAACAACTGCAACATTATTTCAGGCTTCCCATTGGAAGAGCTGCCCGTCTTTTAAAGATCTGACATCTTTTAGCAGCCTGAATGCTGCTCCTGTGCACTGGCTCCAAATGGGGAAGACAAAACCTCTGCCCTGAGGCATCGCTGCTTGTTGATAAACAGCCGATTTAGCAATTTAAAGAGGGGCTGCAGGTTCAGCTGGAAAGCTGGGGCTGCTCCCTCAGGCTCAGGGGGGTGAGGCAGCAGGCTTGAGAAAGGGCAGGCTCCGAGGGCTCCCACCAGGATGCAAGGGGCAGCAGGAAAAATACAAGAGTGGTTTGGGACATTGTAGTTATTTTCACTGAATACCCTTCAGAGCATTTTTTAAATTCCTGACCTTTTTTTTTTTTTTTTAACCCAAGAACATGCAGATGAGCTGCTACTTGCCTGTGTAGACACAAACACTCAGATTTGTCTTTATGAGTCCCAAAACTGCTGAGAACAAGGGCAAAACCCCACTGCTAAGAAGAGATGACAGTGCTTGAAAGTGACCCCTTGGTCTTCCGAGCCCCTTCCCCACTGTGCCACACACACTTACCCCATTTTCATGCAGTGCAGCATGATTTCTGGAGCAGAAAGAAATTAATTTGACCATAGAAAAGATCTTCTTTTTCCCCAAACCTGTTTTTGCGGTTCACTGATAAAGTGTTAGTATGTAACCTATGGGAGGACATCCGTCCGTGAATAATTTGCTGGTGCCCAAATCCCAGAAGGCGGTGAGCAGCCTGATTTCTGACAGGTACTTGGGAGCAGCAGATTTCAACATGTGTCAGAGTGCCCTCAAAAAGATTTGTGGCCAAAATGATTAAAAGCAGGATGGATTACAATTTGACGAGGACCTTTTGCTTAGTACAATTATGTACAGCAATTTACTTAGCTAATTTCAGTCATTATATGGGACAGGACTCATTAGCTACAGCAAGCTGCAATATTACTGACCTCAACATGATCCAAATCTGTTCAGCTTGGGGGAGATTAATTCTCAGACTTGGCTATGAAAAATGTACTCTGGCAAATCACAACAGGTTGTTTAAACTTGGCAAAAGAGTGTAAGCTGAGAATGATAACGCTGTTGCTTGAACTGTAGCAGTTTCTGTCCATAGACGTTTACCTTCACTGCAGTCTGATCGTTTTTCCTTGCCTATCAGCCCACATTTGAGACAGTTCCAGTGTCACCAGTTCCTTCTAATGGTATCCAGCTTCCTGGGCAGAAGCCAGTTTGGAAATCAGTTAGCTGTGAGTATGCCAACATGTAACCAGTGTTCGCTTCCTCCTAGGAAAATGATAGACAGAAAGATCCTCTTGTGGTTCAGAGGTTAGTCCCCGCTCTCATGTTGGGGCCATGCTGCATGTATTTCCTTGAAATCGGTGTCAGCTTATTGTCATGCAGGAACCAAAGTTTCCCATTCAAGACCGGTGTTGTACAGACACAGACTGCTGCCCTTGAGGCATCAACGTCTAAAAAGTACTGACCATTCCAAGGCTGGGAGTGTAAAAATAACCTCTAAACAATATGGTGCAGAATTTGTCCAAAATATGTCAGCAGTGTATTTTCTTATTGCAAATCATGACAAGAAAGATGCATATTTCCTTCATATTTCTTCTCCAGTACTGCAGAAACTGTAGTATTAGAAATTTGTCATTTTTCTGGTTCTGCCCAATAATTCTGATCTGCTAATGGTGTTACTTTGGACATCCTTTAAACACTGCCCTGACAGTGAACAGCAATGCTAATGAAAATGATAGCTCTGCACTACTCACTGTCAGCAGCCTTCCACAGGAATGTCCATCTTTCATTTTGAAAGCTCTTCCCATCACCGTTGTTCAGGGCTTAACTAAAGGGATATTAATACTCGAATTTCTAAACCAGTCCCTTAGATGTTTACTTCTGGATATAGTACCACAGACATTTTCCTTGGTTGCGAACGCTGTTCTGCTGATACCTCTGCTCTGCAAGCAGTTGCACCAGAACAGATGGGGAACCGAATGGCATGGGCTGCCATGGACAGTCTGTGGTCCCCAGTCCAAGGGTGGAAAGAGAGATGGAAAACATCTTAAATGACTTGGCCATTAGGTAACATCTAAGGTCACAGTTCAGAAGCCAGAAGCCACTTAATAACACACTTAGCTTTTTCATACCAGACTTGCAAAACAAAGAGTGTTGCAAAAAATGTTTAAGTTCCTGTATCTGTAAATGCAATGATTCAAAAATCATGGGGCATGCATATGTTTATAAAACATGTAATGCTGTTTAAATCATTTTCTGATTTCCATGGCTTTTGAATGTATTTGGGTCATATTAGTAAACTCTTCTCTGCAGTCCTGGGGGCTGAAATTTTACTTCATTTCCAATGAAAAATTATGATTCTGTTCCAATTGTGTGAGTCTAGGAGCTGGACCTTCAGGGAAAAAATTGCTCTGAGGTGTAAGAGATCAGTCATGAAAGCTGGCAACACTGGAACTCATGTGTGTTACCATACTTTGGACTCCATGACAATAGGGTATTTCTGTACTTGATTGTACTGATTTTGAAAATTTTCCTCTGGCATCCACTAATTTCAGGAGGTGACTAAATTTCAGAGTAGTATAATACATAATTTCACAATGTCTACCAGAAATTCCAGTAGATATAGTGTTTTTTAAACTGGAAGATTGTACATTATGTCCTGTTTTGGTGCTACACAACTACAGGAGCAATTGTGAGAAATACATGTATGTGAGCATATAAAATATATTCACAATGTCTTGTGATTGTAAATAAGTCAACAGTGACCTGAGAAACTGTGTCAACAGCATTTTTCTGTCAGGAACTTTTATTTTTAATTGTTCATTAGACAAGTGCCACCACAGTTTGCTGGCCTGGGTAGACAAGGACGGAGTACAAAAACTCGATAATTCCTGATAAACAGGAAGTTCCAGCTTGGCTATCTTTGTCACGAAATGCAACAAGTTAAATAATCTAAAATGAAAATAGGGATTTTATTTCTAAGGGGTTATTTCCTCCAGACAAAACAGGAACATGCTGTGGTTTACACTGAAATTCCACTTTGAACCACTTCCTTTATTACTTTCTCAAGATTTTTGTCATCTTGGTTCAATTTTTTAATGTCTCTGTACTAAATGCAAGCATACATTCAGCATTCATATATAATTTCCCTTATTTTCAGCTAATAGCTGTCTAGATTGCAGACTAGATAAAGGCAGCCCATCCGTAACAGAAGAGCTCTCCTATGAGGTCTCTTTCTCAGAATCCATTATGGTCCTTCCAAAAACCCAAGAATGGCCGAAAAACCAGAGGTTCAAAAAGGAAGACTCTGCTTTGCCTGTAAGTTTGTTCTCGACATATTTCCTCAATTGTTTTCTTTAACACAGTAATTTCCCGCTTCATATCCCCAGCACGCTGGAGACTGTTAAGATCCATTAGCTGTCCTTTGCTATGTGCGTTTTGTAGAGACGGCCCGCTTTTCCTGCTTACCGCTTGTGACCGATTCCCACAAAGGCACCAAAGCTAATCTGGATATCTAAGCCTGGATTTCACTTGTATCCATCACAGATGAATATGTGTAACTTAGTCCAGAAACATTGCATCATCCACACATTTTTCACGTAGAAATAAAGACCAGTTACTGGCACTAAAACTAGCAATCATTTTCATTACTGGTCTGCTTTCCTACTTTATTCCCCCACAGATTATCTGCCTTTGTTAACACATGGATTTAAAATTGCTTCACAAATGAAGGGAGGAAAGCAAGCCTTAGTCCTGCAGCAGTACCGATTGTCTCCAATCAGTATTCGGTGCAATTATGCTATAGGAGATACTACAGGAATGGTTAAAGGAAAGTTTATCATATCATATCATGCAACTAGACACACACTGAGCAGTTGTGTTACTATCTGGAATCATTTCTTGAAGTCAAGGAAGTCAATTTTCTATTTCCATCACCCCTCACAGCTTCCATTACTGAAAACTGGAGCATTAGGTTTGTGCTTCAGATACCACTTTTTTAGTGAAATGTACGAAATAGCTGTAAATTATTTGGAAGCATTTCCTGAATATTATGGTGCCCTGAGGTCCTGAACTAATCCAAAATTGTTACTATCCATACAGACATTGAATTCTCTGAGAATTATCCATTTGTCCATCTCAGGCACCACCAAGGAAGAAGAATCTGAGATGCAGAAGTAAGCTTCTGTGTTGAAAGGAGGGACAAGACACCAGGCAGATTACAACTGGTGTGAAATCCCTGTGCTTTAGTGTGTCTGGGTTTTTTTTGTAGTGGGGATAACTTGGTGTCCTGTGGAGAGTAAGGATCTCTCTGCATTCATCACGACTTTGGCAAGCCAAAGGTTAATCCTTACTCCTTGTAGTAGCAAATGTAGGACCGCAGCTTTCACTACAACACACACGCGCACACACACAAACACATATGCACAAACACGTTGTTCTCTGCAACAGCTTGGACAATTTCCAGTTGATAGAGCAGGGAAACTGGTGACAAACAGGGAAGAGAAGATGCTACGTTGAATATCATGAACCTGTGGATTCATAATTGATTAGTATTAGAAAAGGCCAGTATTGTGCTGGAGGTGAACTACTCTGCATGCAGGACGTCATTTTGTGTGCTCAGAATAGTACATGAGAAACATGCCAGGTCATCACAGACAGAGTTTCTGAATAAAGTCAACAATTGTAGCTGTTGACATTGGCATTTCTCTTACATCATACTTTCTCCAGGGCAGGTCTGACACATTGATATAACCAGCTTCATGGATGGTGTACACTGAGCTGCACAGAGAGAGATTATTTATCATAAAATAGCATGTGCCCTGCAGCTCCCAGAAGAGCCAACTCAACATCACTGTCTGCATAGGGTCACATGCAATTTCCCTGATGTGGGACCGTGACCAATGTGCCTTCGTTGAAGATATTACAGAACTAAGAGTCAGTACGCATTTCAGGCCCATCTTAGTACACCGTATAGTTCCACATAGAAACAATATGTCGCACAATGTCAGATGTGATCCTTAGCCGTAGCACTAGTAATCTGATTTCAGGATAGCACAGCCTCCTTCAGTGCTGCATACTGTGACTCCATTGTTTGTAAGAAAAATCACCGGAAAATTGTGACACAAGACAGAAGAAAGAGGCCCAGCCCCAAACCTTGTCTTAGCACTGCATCACATCATAGTGACCCCAGAAGTCGATCAGCCACCATGGAAAATCACTGTAGCTACCCTTTGTAATTGGTTTTGGAGTGTTTGTCATTTTTTCTTGGCAAACATACCGTTTCTCTTTCCCCTCAGAAAATATATGTATACTGTGTGATTTTTTTTTCTTACTTTTGAGATGATTTATTGTGCTTTGACTGCATTTGGACTTTTTGCATCACTGGAACCAAAATGCATAGATATTCTTGGTATTTTATGTGTCTTCAGAAGACTACTCTCCATGTAGCTTTTATTACGTTATTAAATCTCAGCATAAGAGTAACAGTGGAATTCCTGCCTTCTGGGGAGGGAAGACTCTGGCCTAAAATGCCCCAGACAGCATGTAAATTAGCTGTTCCACCCCCTGCACTCTTTCTCCCCCAATTATGATTAACCCCTATTGAAAGACCATGTGCAATGTGATTTAGGAAGTCCTAACCTACAGGATCTAGCTGTCCTTTGTCCTCTTTTACTTTTGAAATGGAAAGTTTAATTCTTTTTTTGTTTACTTTTTTCTTAATCTGTTTGACTGGTTCCATTTAAAGATGGGTGAAACCTATCGAGTCAAAATTTATTTAAAAAGGGAGGACTGGACTGAAATCTCCAGAAGCAAAACATTATTAAAGGCTGGGTTTCCACTCAGTTCCCTAAAGGGAGGAGATGATTTGTAATGCTGGTTTTTTATACCTCTGACTAACAATTAAATTAAAAAAGTGTACAACACCAAATATCCACAGTTTGCAAAGCATGGTTTTTACTATAACTTTGTTATTATGTGTAACAATTATGTCAAAAACTGATGGGTATTTGTTCTTTTTGACATTTGTAAAAATGCTTGTCATGATGCAATGTTCCTGCCTCTGGTCCATGACACTGCAGTTTCTAAAATATGTAGACATCTTCACATGGCCTCAAATTACTAAGTACCGTTTAGTTCAAGCCTACTTGAGTAAATGATTTCTTAGCTGCTGGAAGTCCTCTTTCTAAGCCTAAATGCTTCTTGAGTAATAAAAAGTGCCAGTAAATTGGCAGGCTGGCATCAGGACTAAGTGATTTTGCTTCTGGGCTTTTCCTCAGATCTTTAGTTTGAATTCTGCTGTAAGACTTCATAAATTAATAGTAATATGCAAAGCAGGCATGGATTCATTATACACACGCATACAATCGATATACAACCATATCCTTGATGAAATGTGTCAGCTACTTCAACAGCATTCCCAGCCGCTCTGGGGGAGGCAGAAGCAGAGCAAAATGTTACACCCTGAAACTGGGCAAAAGTTTAGGTAGCATGTAGCTCCGTTGTCCCAGTTGGAGCAGGGGCACTGAGATTAATACCTCAGCTCCAGCACCGCTTACTAGTCAAACTGCAAGGGAATATGATGAGCAAGAAGCTCAATTGTGTGTTTCAGATGGATGCAAGTTATGTCAACATACCAGGCCAATATATAGGGTTGTAGTTCAGCTCTTTGGTGTTGCCATCTACCCTAATATGACTTCCCATCACATACGGGCATCTCTTGCAAAACAAAAATTCACTTCGTGTAATTTTTGTGCAAATAAAGATGCGACCCATCTCTACTGTAGAAATTCATTGTTCGGAAAAGCCGGTTTGGACTGACAGAGGTTGGGGACCTCTCTCCTGAAGACATGAAGAAGATCCGCTACCTCTCCCTGATTGAGCTAACGGCCTTCTACGATGCACTGGGGGTGGAGCTGAAGAGGAACCGCGCAGAGAGGGTGCGGGGACGAGGTACTGTGCTGCAGTATCCCCTGGGCACCGCTCAGCATTGTGAAGAAGATGCATACAAGGCTGTGTTTCCTCTTTTTCACATTTGTTGTTATTATTTTTAAGAGAATGGTCTGTTTGGAGTCCCTCTCACCATACTGCTGGAGAATGATCAAAAGAAGGTTCCTGGAATAAAAGTTCCTCTCATCTTCCAAAAAGTGAGTATAACTCAGCCTGCTCGGCCACTAAGATTTGCTTTTCCATCATTTGCATTGACTCTCAAAAGAGTCATCAGATAAAAGAAGATGCAGGCTTTACAGATTTGAAGGTGTCTACAGGTTGTCTGTCTGTATGCTGTGGTTTGAAAACCTTGTGACAAGGAGAAAAAATTGCTCCTTTTGTGTGTTTTATCTGTTGTGGGGACCTCTTTTGATTTTTGTAATTACACGACACCATACAGGAAACTTCGGGAAACAAATGTCTGTTTCCCTTTCTTGTTAAATTTGAGAGCCATGCAAAATTGTGTGTGTATGGCAGAGATGAGTTGTCTGAGAAGTTTTAAATTCACATGAATTCAAACTGTAGGTATTACTTAGCTATTATTTCCAGAATGGAAGTGGTATCTTCTCATTGAGGCTTGTATGACAAGACAAGGTCATTTATAGAAGTCAGTTGACAGTACAATGACATCCAGCAGATGTCTCGGAGGCAGGTACACGGACACAAGCACATACACAACTACACAGGCTTACATGGACTTGAAACTGCAACAAATCTCCCTGTAAATACTGACAAAAGGGGAAGTGGTGTGGAGGGTCAGGGGAAAGACTGACATGACTTGAACATTTGCATGACTTTGCAATCAGCTGCACAGCTCCCCTGTCAAGATACCATGGGAAATTAGAAGGATCCAACAGTCAGGGCAGAAAGCAGAGCTGGTGGTGAAAATCCAGAGCTGTATGAATAAATGCTAGGAAATTAGTTGTGGGGAGTTTTTTTCCTCATTCTAAATCACGTTAAATCAAAACATATTTGTTTTTTTAAAAAGAATTAGAGTGGAAAGCCTATTCCTCTAGTCACAGAAATTTCAAAATAAAACATCCTGGGATCATTTTCTAATCCAAGTTCTCAGCTCCCAGAAACATATGTTGTCTATAGACCTTTCCATTGTGTTCCTTGGGGAAAGACTTAAACATTTCTGAGAGGTTAATTTTCCCTCAAAACACCATTGTGTTTTACCCAGTGTATCTGCCCTTTTATTAATACGTTTGTGTTAATTGCTCTATAGCAGTGCCATGTCTCAAATCAAGGACAGAGGGGCCTATTGCCTTATCAGTTTTCTGTACTCTGCATACTCTGTATTTCGGGGTCAGGAATATGGAGAACAAATTAGGAAGGTTTATTTACATGAGCTGGCTTGTTTTCATTAGGAAATTGCATAGAGATGCACCTTTTTCAAATTAGTTTCAAGGATACCTAGACTGAAAAAAAGTTGTTAGTATTTTAAAGTGGTGCTGAGTATTTTACTGGGTTTTGTTGGGTCTTTTTCAGTTGCTTCACAAGCTTGAGGAAACAGGTTTAGAAACTGAAGGAATTCTACGAGTGCCTGGATCTGCCTCCAGAGTCAAGGTACACGCTTGGGCCAGTTTTCTGTCTCCTGGACCACAGACTCTGTGTAAAATAACACAGCACACACAAATTCACACTGCACATACATACTGATGTGCGTAGCTCAGCGTTTGCATCCCTGCCACTGAAAGGTCAGGTTGGTTCCTGGGAACCAATAAATCACAGAACATGTAGTCTATTGCTTTGCATTTGTTAATGTTCTATATAAAGCACAGACTTGATGCTGAATGCAGTTTTTCTCCACTAAACATTGGGGGATCCTTTCAGTCTATCTCTGTTGTCCAAAACTGCTGTGATCTTATCTCTCTTTTAATTTATTTCAGAAATTCGGAGTTGTTAAACTGAGCAAACTTCAGATAATGATCTTATTCTATGTCATTTTAACCTTTGTGTCATTTTATTTCTCATTTATCTTCTGTGATCTTACAATTTCATGTTCCAAGTGAGAGAAATTTGGCCTGCGTTCACTGTTTGGCAGCCTCAAGCATTGCATTTTCACAGGCTATTTGCGAGCTATGAACACGGGATAGCTGGTACCCAATAACCTGACACTGTGGTGCAGTAATGCTTGCTATTGTTTCTCCAGACTAACTTGATTCCAGGAGCTGGAAGTCTTTGGCAGAGGCAAATTAGGAAAATTATTTTTTTCTGGGCTTAGTAGTATCTACCTCTTTCCCAGATTTTTGTTTTTTCTAGGTTTTTTTTGGTCTGGTTTAAGCAACTTCTTACAGTGCATCCCATTCCCACTTTCTCATCCTCAAGAAAGCTAGTCTTGCTTTCTGAGCCAAGAAGTCTCATCATTGTGGCAGCCACACAAATGCTGGGGATTGTTAAACGCTGATGGGCTAGGGATCATCAAAAATGTCTGTACAAGAAAAAGTGGCATTACGTGAAATGCACCGAAGACGGGCAGTAGCATCCCAGCTCCTTCTGACTGTGGACTGAAAACAGCACTCGGCACCTTGCAAAGTGCCACGTCTTGCAGAAGGGAGCTCCTGATTTGGCCTGCACTTTTCAGCTTCCTCATTTTTCATACAAATACTTAAAGTATTATTTCACACAATCTCAATTTTTTCCAATCTCTCCGGGGAGATTACACAGCAGGGCTGTGCTCTAATTAAATTACTTTCATATCCTTTGCATATACTGCACTGTGTCTTGTTCACTTCTTATTCACAGCCTATGTCCAGGGAGCTGCTATGAGATACGACCTTATATGTAACTCTCCTATACTGGGTGGTAAGTTAAACTGCCCATATGACACTTTTAAATTATTTGGGTTTTGGCTTCACTGAAGTCTGTCCACAAGCCAACCAGCAAGAGAGATATTTTTTCAAAGCAGATCCAGATTTCATCCTTCAAAGGCTTCATACATTATTATGACATTAGGATTTGAGGGCATTCCAATTTTATTTCAGTCTTGTTTGGAGAAAGAAAAGGCATATGGAAGTGATTAAAGGTTACTCTTCTATAAAACAAAGAATAGAAGAAATAAATACAAGTTTTCCCCTGTAATTTGGTTTGTAACAAAAGCTCCAGTGAACGAAAAATGTATGATAGTCTACCATAGGATCAGCCACATTTAAAAAAATTGCAAAAACGTTTTTAGAAGTACTTAGGTGCATACATATATGGATATGGGGTGGGGGTGGGGGGAGAGTGAGTATGTAAAGTATACATATACGGTTGCCTGTGTGGGTATATATATTAAATGTTTATGTTTCAAAAATCTGGCTTTCTATTTCTACGGCTTTTTCCCAGTCCTTGGCAGAAAAATGTGGAGTAGCTTTTCTGTCCTTTTCTGCTCTTGATGAGGTGAGGATTTCTGTTCCACATTTCTCAGTCAGTTACCAGGACAGAATTTAATCCAGGTGTTTGTATGGATCATGTGCAAAGGATGTGAATACAGAGGAAGCTGAGATAGCCCAGATTATGACCAGTAAAATGTGCTAGTAAAAATGGGATTGTAACATTATATACCAAATCCTGAATGACTTTCTATTTCCTTTTGTGCCAGCCATTCCACTTCATTATGTGTGACCATATTTGATATGTAATTTCCTTCCATTCATGTGAGACATGGTAAACAGAATTCATTTTTAAAAGCTTTTCTGTCTGAACAGACTAAACTTTTTTGCATAATATTAAAGTATATTTAACAAAAACGTGTTCTGAAACCTGAATATTAGCTACAGATATATTTTGTCATAAATGGTCTCTCAAAAAGCAGCAATAAACTTCCTATGGATAAGGCAGTGTTTGGCCAATAATAATTGTGAAAGCTGCATTATTTTTGGATATCCTGATACTACAATAGCTTCCTTCAATCTTACTAACCCAATAAATTTTTGAGGAGCTTGCATTTTCCAAATGCTGATCTGAGTTTGAAGCCGAATTCTGTTCCTACGAGGACCCTTACTGAACATTTCCCATTCACACTGATGTGTGAAACATCGATTAGTTACCCTCCAGAACTAAATAGACCTCTGTGAGAGAGCAAGATGCTGACACCAGAGAACAAGAGGATTAAATGGGCACCCAAAATGGTATAATCAATTCTGATTTAGATCTCTCGTATTTTTTTGAGGGTTTTATTTGGCCTGTATTAAGTGGAAGTTTTCTGACAGTAATAGTTTGATACCTTTGTTTTTCTATGAAGTGATCAAATCTAATTATAGCTACCCTAAAAGAAAACATCCTTCTGAAGACCGGAAGACCTGAAGTTAAAGCCATTTGCTCAAGGCCCCTGGACTCAGATGCCAACAGACTATCTAGCAAGTTCACTGGCAGTGAGGAAGAAGCGCCACTCCTTTGTGACTTAAGGGTCAAAACCTCTGGAGAGTGTTTTAAACAAAAAGAACAGCTGTGCTAAAAATCCTGTTTAACTGAATTTTCTGTTTATAGTTCTAAGACCTTGCACAAAATTATCTTGTTTTGAAATGGTTCAAATGGGTCACTGGCAGAAATCTAGCTATAGCAAACCAAATTTAGCCTGGGTTGCAAAATATCCCCAGGAACCTGCTTTGTTAACGTGCTCTGAACTCTGCGCGGCTGCACCTAGACTCCTACTGGTTTAGGGCTACTTGAATTCAACTGCAGTGTAAACCTGCCTGTTGTTTGTAATGGGATTTCTGAAGTGATCTCAAACTGCCAGGTCGGAAGCAATGATCAAAGGTCAGATGTTCCTTTTATCTTTCAGAACCTCCATCAAGAACTTGAGGCAAAATTTTATGAAGACACTTTTGACTGGGACCAAGTACGAAATAATGATGCAGCAGGACTGCTGAAAATGTTTATAAGAGAACTCCCAAGCCCACTCTTCACAGTAGAATATCTACCTGCTTTCATCATGCTAGTGGAAAGTACGTGGAAATGGAGTTTATATGGACTAATCTGGATAAAAAGTAATAGTAGACATTACATTTTTTTCTTTCTCTGAAGTAGAGAGAAAAAAAATATGTAATTTTTTCTCTCTCTGAAGTAGAGAGAAAAAAAGGCCCAGTGCATTGCCTAAACATTTAAATTTTCTGCAAACTTTCCTTTTCAAATGGAAAAGGCTCTGCATTTAGCTAATAGCATAGACTCATTGTGCGAATGACACAACTGTTTAAGATTTGAAACCTGTGAGCAAATGATGGCTGAGCAATGACTTTCATATATAGACTCTGATTCACACAAATTATAGATTTAATAAATTAAAATTTCTGCAAGGTGAACTCAAGCCACTGCCCTTTAGCTGATATACTATTGAAACTATTTTATTTCTCTTAAGGTTTATGCTGAGGTCGGAATATTCATAGAAAGATACATGTGATCACAGAAAGCTTCAGGCCATCAGGTTTTGTTTTCAGCGTACGTAAACCCTCTCACTCAGTACATTTTGGTCATTTCTCTTCCAGGAAGAACGCAGTGGTACCTTGCCATACCTATTGACTTCATTGTAAATTCACTTGAGCTAGGACAGAGTGAAACTATCAGGACAGTGTATTTATTAGGCAAATTGGTACAGAAAACTTAGGACCTTGACGTAAGGTTGCAGCCCAGTTTTCAGTGTCTCCATGAGGCAGTTTAAAGGGCAGGAGGAGGTGACCCCTTCCTGTAACCCTCACGTACCTGGGCGTCCTCCTTGTCAGTCCCAGACGGCGTGTGAGTAGCATCGCTTCACAGTTTGGAGGAGAAGGCTGAACAGGAGGTGTCTGCGCAGAATAAAGTAACTTTACTCCCTACAACAGATACACTGTGCACAACTCTCACTCTTTTCTTCTCCAAACCTCTCTCGTACACCCTGAGTGGAAGCAAATGAGAGAATTATTCTTCTCATCTTCTCCACCCCAGCTCTTCTAGCAAGCATTGCACAGTATCAATATATACCAATTGCTGAAAACATTATGGTATTTTGTAACTGGACAAGGGGCTCTACACTTACCTAGAGTGCTAGATTTGGGACAAATACTTTTTAAGTTATAAGCAACCAATCTCCAGTCCAATGACAAAAGCGTTCAGAAAATTACTCAATAACATTAGTCTGAAAATTTTCTGAAAACAAATAGCCATTTCAGTTTGAAAGGGGGAAAATACTTGATCCATATTCACAACACAGTCTGACCATGGTATCGAAGAGAAACTGGCTAGTACTGAAAAATATTGCTTCTTGCTATTTAGACAGAATTTTATAGAGCCTTATCTCCCTCTGTGACAAAGACCCAAGACAATGACAAAAAAACCACCCATTAAATTGATTTAATTATCACCCTCTACAACTACTTGAAAGGAGGTTGTAGTGAGGTGGCGGTCGGTCTCTTCTCCCCAGTAACTAGTGATAGGACAAGGGGAAACGGTCTGAAGTTTTGCCAGGGGAGGTTCACGTTGGATATGAGGAAGAACTTCTTCACTGTAAGAGTCGTTAGGCATTGGAACAGGCTCCCCAGGGAGGTGGTGGACTCACCAGCCCTGGAGTGTTCAAAAAATGTTTAGATGTGATGCTTTGAGACAAGGTTTAGTGGGCATGGTGGTGTTGGGTAGAAGGTTGGACTTGATGATCTTTGAGGTCTCGTCCAACCATAACGATTCTATGATTTTATATTTGGGAAAAAGGTTGTGGTTGATGAACACCTAACATGCTAGTCTCAGCCAGGCAGTGGTTGCTGTATTTCTAGAACTGCTGACAAACAAGGTTTTTAGAACAAACCAATTGCAACTGGGATTTCAAAAATATTAATTATTCATCTTCTTAGAAATCTCCAAGATCAAGTTACAGCTACAAGCTTTACATCTGTTGATCATGCTGTTGCCTGAAGCCAACAGAGACACAGCCAAGGTAAATTCTTCATTTGCTATCACCTGCCATCTGCGGTGCTTTTGACTTTTAAATGAGACACACTTTTTTTTTTCTAACATTCAGTGATCAGACATTGCACTGTGGAAGTATTCATCTGTGTTTTTTATCATTTCCTTGAAAAGATGTTCCATTCTAACAGTCAGTGATCAGACGTTGCACTGTGGAAGTATTCATCTGTGGTTTTTATCATTTCCTTGAAAAGATGTTCCAATTCCCTGGCTGTCATGTCTTTTACAAGCAATTAAGAAATAGTTGCTGGAGGTATCCAACTGCTGGTGTCAGCAAATGGCTCCCAGGCATCATCTATTCTGGAGCATCCATTTCAAAGAGGCATGTTCCTCGCATAGTTTGGAAAAAAGGTCCAGTTTCTGGGTTTTCTGCATAACCGGAATTCTCCAGGATGAAGTTAAATGAGAAGCTGCCCCCCCAGGAGCTCAGCTAGTGCACACCCAGTGCTGAAGGGCTTCCAGGGCACTGGACCAGACTGGAGGAAATAGTCCGAAGTAAAAACCCTTGAAATGTACAGCTGTAGCACAGATGTCAGGACCTCAGCCTCAGCCGGTTTGACTTACATGTACTACTTCTGATACAGACACAGCAGCCATAAGCGTTTTGGGTTCTTGGGATCGCCCAGATCTGGCTGCGGCTATGTCCTGACCCTAAGAGACACTGGTTGCATCTTTGGACTTGTTGCTACATAAAGGAAACCTGGGTGAAGAAGCTGCCTGGGAGCCCCCAGACATTTCATCAGGTCCCCTGCTCATCAGAACCCTGCAGGTCCCCCACCTCTGAAAGCCTCCCATATGTCAGTTTAGATAGAGATTTATGAGTCCAGGTGCCTTCTTTACCTGTATTTATTTATACAATAATGAGGGACAGGAATAACAACCCTCTTTAAAGGCTTTAGAGGTCTACTAGTGCTCTATGAAGAACAAGGATTATTTCTTCTACCAAAGTCCATACCAGCATAGAGTTGTATACATAAAACACTTGCTAGATGAGTAGTCTTAATTATTACTAGGCTTTTATACAAAAATAAAAGTGATGACAAAAATGAATGCATCTCCGCTTGATATCTATAACGAGATTTCAGAAATTCCTCCAACTCAGTTTTTGTTTTGTAATTCCTGGGTTTGTAAAAATGTTTTAATTGCAATGTCAGGGTACAAAGACTGTGGTTTTAATGGTATGGTGTTGCAAAAGGACTCATTGGCAGACCCCAACTCTAACCACAGCTGCAATCTATCCTATTCAGTCACTCAAGCAACATTCTGAATAAACTGCCCAAAAGGGAAATGAGTTTCCTTTGACTCTGCCATGCATGTGCAGAAGTGACGTCAATGAACAACCGCTGAGCTCTTCTTGCTTTCATTATCCCAGAATAAAAGTTTGGGGCTGCTGGCAGAAATTCCTCAGATTATAGCACATATGGGCCTGGTGCACATTTGAAGGGAAGCTGATCGCCCTGCTGATCGCGATATAAAAAACCTTGGCTAGATCCATCAACATGGACTCCTTGAAATCTATGAAGAAATTAAGTTTTCCATTGCAACATCTGCATATCTTTCCTCTGCTACAGGACTCAGAGCCTTAGTGCAGACACTGTACTTGTTTTACAGATTTGGGATTATGCTCTAAGTGATAGATAAGCTATTAATATCTATTTTGATAACATTAACTATTCCTCTGTGATTGGCACAGGTGGTTGTGCCAGCAAATATGAGAGTAATCCAAATTAGAATGCAAAAACCCTGTATTTCAGCTCCAAGTGCAAATATAGCATAACAAGTGTTGTTTTTCCAGGCCTTTCTTCAGTTCCTGAAGAAGGTGGTTGCTAATGAAGGGAAGAATAAGATGAATTTGTGGAATGTTTCTATGATTGTTGCACCAAACCTCTTCATCTACAAAGGGAAGCGTGCAAACCAACAAGAAATGCAAGCAGCTGCCACCACAGCGCACATTGTGCGGCTTTTAATTCGGTACCAGGACATCCTGTGGACAGTGAGTAATGCTGGTTCCCCCTTCATGGCTCCGGTACAGAGAAGTGTTTTGCTATACGCAGCAGCTCTGTAGGAATCAGAGCAAACTGACTTTCTTAGAAGAAAGAGTTAGCTATTCTTTGGAAACTGGCTGGAGTCTTCCATATCTAGATTGAGATAGGGTGACAGATACCTCTGGGTGGAGATTTACCTCGCCCAAGACATCCATTTTAGCACAAATTGCCCTCTGGAGGTACCTATCCCACACCATTGTTTATACAGAAGAATGCATAGGAGAATTATTTCATCAAGGTATCTAGGTGAGATATCTAAACTTGAATGAGATGAAATGACTGTTTAAAGTCTAGTCCATAATAATATGGGCCGAAAGTGTGTACTACTTGCTGGACTTCCAAAGGTTGGCATGAAGATGACGACAGGCTCAGCTTGTTTCCTCATAACAGAAGGGGGGTATAACGGGCATTGCAAAGAGTACCTCCTAATAATGTTCCTGCTACTGCAAACATCACTAAAACGTTTCATATGGTATGAAAGACGATCTACAGTTTCACCAAAGGAATAATTGGGCTTTCTTAGAGGGAGCTACTTTCTGGGAATAAATAGAGCTTCTGCTGCCTAAAATTTGATGCCTTTCTAAAACCCCACCACCAATTTTATGGGGGAAAAAATTGTTGTACACTCTCAGCTCTGCTTTCCTCCCTTTAGGTCCCATCCTTCCTGATCTCCCAAGTGAGAAAAATGAATGAGGCAGCAATGAACAACAGCAAGAGGCAGCTGATGTTTGACAAAGGAGTGAGAAAACTTCTGAGGAGAAAGACCATGGAACGGGAGAGACCTGAAAGACCAGAGGTGTGATAAAAACATATCACTTTCAAGGGTAGCTTTAACCAGCCTCCCTCCTTTTTTATCTCATAAAAGCGTCTGGGGCAGGGGAGGAAATTTTGCCATACAAAATATGCTGATTTGGGAGCTGTCTTGAAAGATGTGCTTCCCAGTCCAACATCCTGATAAGGCAAAGCTTTGGGGATTGACTGAGAAAAGGTGAGGAAGGCAGAATGATTTATAGCAGCCCAAGCTATAAGCTGTTACAAACACATGCTGGTTTTGTACCTGTTTTATAAGAAAACGGTCATACGTGGACTATCCTTGACAGCAATGATCTGTAGATATTCAACAAACGCATGGATCTGCAGTTGAGTAGTAGGATGGTCCATATTAGGATTGATTGCACTTACCCCTGCCCTGGTCCAGGCCACCCGATACTCTCCTTACAAGCTTCAGTTCTACAGCTTTGTACAGACTTCCTACGCAGAGAGAAAATCCAGTTTGCCTGACCTAGACAGCAACACCGGGTCTAAATTTTAAGCCTCTAATGAAGTAGTTTGTGTTATTCCCTATGTAGTCAGAAGAGAGAGGTGGATACTTTTGAGGATTTCCACAGCTCCAGGTGCAGTTCAGACTTAGGAAAGTCTGATACAAAAATCTTCCTTTGGAGGTCTTAAAGCCACCAACTTTTGTCCACTGCTTAGATACGGACTTACCTGAGGTATGCTACTTCGGTAGACACCTAAAATTAACTTATGTATTAGGTGTAACATAATTCGGGCAACAAAGCATGTTGCGTACACATGCACAACATATACAGTCCCTATAGCAGTTTATATATGGTATTTCCAGGTAGTAACTACCTTTAATAACCTGGAGAGAAAGTCTTTAGAGTCTTCCATGGAGGTTTAAAAGAACGGAGATTGGTGAATTGTAAGAGGAATAATCAAGGAACTGGTCAAGGACTCTATATAGTTACTGAAGAATAGTGCTGAAGAACAAAAGAAAAGACAAATTAGGAGGGAGTGATCTTAAGAAATTACAAGAAATAGAGAATAGGGCATCTAATACAGATAACAGAGAAAATGCAGAAGGGAACATCTGGGAAAAAATAGAAAGAGAAATTACACGTATGAATTGTGAATCCATGCTAATTCAGCTTTCTAGAGAACTCATTTACCAGCACTGACAGAAATGTACTGTGGGGAGGAGACACCTTTGTGCTGCAGATGGAGGCAGAGAGGTTTGTTTAAAATGGCAGAGCAGATTACTGCGTGGCCAACTGTGTTCACCCTGGAACGAACACAGTGAGAGCTTCTGAGGAGTCAATTACTGCAGCCGCTGCGCCTTCCGGAGGACAAGTTCATTGATCGTAGTAATTGGCTTTCCATCGAATCAAAATGAGACTAGCCATGGCAGGTAGCTGAAACATGAAGGGTAAATTGGAGGCAAACTCTGTTTGGATAACTGAGTTGAATTTTGAGAGCACTTAACACAATCCCCGCGTCTCAGATGTTCTAAATTACACAGGGAGAGAGACTAGAGAGACTATTGTACTCTGCTCAGCATGGTATTAACTGGGTTAGAACTGGAATGCAAACCTTGCTAACTGATTTATCCACCATTAATCATGGAAGAGTGCATAAACTTCATAGATGATCGTTTGAACCCCACACAAGGTCAAATTTCAAATTAACAGAAACCATATGGTACTTTGATACTTTACTGTACATACGCTCCGATCTAGTTGAAGGTATAGGAAGTGGAAACAGAGAAATGGATCTTCATGGCTCAGAAGAATTTCATCTTTAAAAGGAAGAGCAGTTATTCTTAATAATTTTCATGTATTTTTACATAAGCAGTCGGTTCACTGACCAATGTTAGCAGAAATAACTTAAAAAGTCTCAGACAACAACTTGACTCAGTATTGCTGCAGTTAAAATTCGAGGGCTTTATGTTATTCTGCGTGCATTTATGCGATACTCACCAAGGAGTTCGTGTCTTTGTGTTGTATCTCATTGTACTGTATCTACAAATTTGCATTTGTATAACTGTACATGTGTTTTTTGAATAATCAAGTGAATCCAGGACAGTGGTTTTTGCAAGCAACCTCAAAAGAGCTGCAGAACTGCTTCTGAATGGAGCTGGAACAATATTTGCCTTAGACTTACTCTACTGAATATTGATTTTAGGGAGCTGTCACTTTTCCCCCATACCTGCAGTCTGACATACCCGAGGGGGTGATAAGAGTTTATGCTCCACTGCACTCAAAAGTCTCTATGGCAATTCAACTCAATAGCCAAACAAAAGCCAAAGACATCCTGGCTCGATTCCACTGTGAAAACAGGTGGGTAAAGCAGAACATTTTGTTTTTCCTGAACAACAATGTCAGAACCATTAATGAATAGACTGTTCCCTTTTTAAAGACTCATTGTATTGCAAGAACTGTTTTTCTAGCCTAAAATTGCTAATTTATGGTTACTTTTGTCAAAGAAATTTTAACCACTGATTTTATTCTTTATATTTTACTTAATAATTGGCTCCTATACAGAATCAATCTGCCCTCTGTTACGCCACTACTAAAACACACCTTTTATAGACTTGCCGCATAGAGAACCCAGAGGGATTGTCTTACATCTGCCCATAAAACATTAATGTTTTTATTTCTGTAAGGTCATAATTATTAACAGTTATGGGATATGGTAAATTGTATCTGAGAGTCTTTTCTGAAAGTCTTCTGATATTACCACGTAATTCCATTCTTTAGATAAACAATAAAAAATAAATAATACAATAGAAAGTTTGGTGAACTGTGACACAGTAATCTGCCTCCGTAGCAGATACAGTATTCTGCAGTGCTCCGTTTGGTACAAGTCCTTGCTTTTGATAAGTAAGCTCACAGGGGCAAAAATACCAATTTTTAACTTAATGTAGATGGTGGTTGATAAGGCAGTGGGTATACCAGAAAGACAAACTGAAGGTTTTTTTTCCATCCTAGCCACGGATCATCACAGAACATGAGAGGCCAGATCCAAAGTTTACATGAAATTGGAGGAAATATAGGTAGGTCTCACTTTTGAAAATTCAATTCGGAATGTCCTTAGCCTCCTAAAACCCCTCAGGGCAGGGCTGTTTTCACACCGCTGGGTCTCTCCTACCCTCCAGTCCATCTGCAGGGAAGGAGCCTGGCCCAAAAGCTGTTAAAAATCAATGTAACGATTCCTTCCAACTCCAGCACGACTGGAGAGACAACTCGCAGGAGACAGTGACCCGACGGCTGGATCTCAGCAGGACTCCTTAGTCTTGCCAAATTCATCAGACCACTCGCTTACCTCTCCCACTCTCATAACTGAGCATTTTTCCATGGTTCAGAGATCCTTAGTCTTCCTCTCGTGAGCACGTTCCGCCTCGCTGTCAAGCCTTTTCCCAAGACATATTTCTTCCTCGCTGTATTTAAGTGTTAACCTCCCTCAAATAAAAACCACAGAATTCAGAGTTCAGCCCCTGTCTGTATAGGTGTACTATACTCGTACTAATCCATGTGCTTTATTTAGATTGCAAATTCCTTGCAGCAGGGATTTTGTCTTCTTCCGTGTTTCATGCAGTGATATTTTTGTAATAACAACAGTGGTTTGCCACACAAGTTCCTGGCCTAAAGGTCAAAAACCAGATTTTAATTTGGTATTGCACAGTCCTGACTCTCTCCTCTCTCTATTCATTCTAAAATTCTGGATGGTCTGTTGGAATCTTTTGTCAACTGTCTGATTAGATTATTCCTTAATTCTTCTAGATTCAGCTCTAAACAGTTTCTATAAAGTTATTACAAAACATCACAGACTGGCTTCAGCAGCAGTCAAGAAGCAAAGTCTTTATTACTGAAGATACACAAAGCTAAAGTTGATTACTGATTTGTTTCGCCTGGCTAAACAGGATGACCAAGGATGCTAAAACAGGAGAAGATCCTAAAGGCCTTGAGAAAGTATTCCCACCATGCGCTTTCAAAAATCTGGACATTTAATTTGCATCTTCATTTAAAATTATTTTTATAGTCCTAGATCTTTCAGGGTATCTTAGTCCACTGATTATGCATTAACTCATTTATATTGCTTTCACTTGAATAAAATCATTATGACCTCAGTGGCCTTATAAGTAACTGTACAAAAATCTTCCCATAATCTTTTCTGACACAGCAATGTAACCTCACCGGTTAAATGGCTTCATCACCCAGTGTAAATGCAATATAGTCCAACAAATCGACTTAACTCAAGAGTTTATTGCCTTATTACTCAATTAAGAGGCACCAAATGTCTTTCTGCAACAAAGGCAGCAGGGACTCCCCAACCACCCAACACCTATTCCCAGTCACCACCTAACGAAACCCTCAAACAACCAGACTTCAGAGGACCTTTTTTTTTTTTTTTTTCCCTAAACCAGCAAACCAGCAACTTGATATAGTCCCTATATTTCTTTGCAAGGTCCTAGCTGGATAGGAACACATGGTTTACAGAGCTGTTTTTTCAGCATTTAAAAACAGTGTAGAAACAAAGTCACAGAGTTGTAATTCCAGCCCAGTAAATCCAAAGAAATAAAAAAATCATCCCGTGGCACTTACAGTAATAGTGCTGTTAATGCTTCTAAAGATACCGTAATACTTGTTCACCATTTGACTAAACGCCTTGTCCGTAACTCCGTGAATGCAGAGCATCCTGCCTGGAAGCGAAAGTGAATTCATGACTCTCGCTAGAGTAAAACCACTGCCAAGTTACCAAAGCCCCTGTCCCTACCCAGGCAAGATGTCAGCTGGACACACCAAACGGGGCTCGCTACGCGCAAGTCACAGACACATCCAAAGACGTTTTAACATAGCTCTGTCCCATTTACTAATGTGCTCAAAACTTCCTACCATTCATGGCTGTCCATTTCTGTTTCAGGCCAGCACTGTTTGGATCCGGATGCCTACATGTTAGATGTTTACCGTGCAAATCCTCAGGCAGAATGGGTGATAAAACCAAAAGCAAGCTGAAGCAGAAGGCTGCGGTGAACTGGACAAAAGCCAAATGGACAACGGTGATGCCTGTCATTTCAAGAAGCTCTTGCCAGAGACGAAACAAAATGGTAGCTACAGGACATCATTTCTTCCTACTGTACTATCCAACGGATGGTCACCACGTACTACTTTTGGTATAAGTATTATCACTCCAGCTTCTGGACCACCAGAAAATATCACATCAGTTATGCTTTCATATGGATTACGCTTGTGCCAGCTGGCCCAGGAGTTAGGGAGGACAGACCAAGGTACGGTGCACAGAAAACCACCTGTCACACATGGAGTTGGTTTCCTGACCTGGTGTTAGAACATGAATTTTTTTTAAAGAATCCAGTGGCATCCCAGGATGCGCGAAACACTACCGACCACAGCGATGTTCAAGAAGAGAAGGTATCTGTCAAGCCTAGAAGAGAGGAGCTCAACCTGCATCAGTGCCAAGACACAGCTGTGTGACAAAATCAAACCTTTCTGCTGAAAGTAAACCTGTACAGTGTGCGTTACCGCAATATTTATGTCTTTCAGTCACTCCTCACGAGTACCTGATGCTGGGGGAGGGAAGGAGGCAGGAGGAAGAACTGCTGTATAGACAGCTATACTGCTTTCTCTATGTACCACTGTGTATCTTACTACAAGTCTTCCAAAAGTGTCCATCTGGACCACGTTACTGTGTGCAATTGTAGCACCACAAACCACTTTCTCCCTCCCGCCCCCCACACAAGCTTTGCCAGGTGAGGAGGGGCACAGGCCCCAGCTCTATCTTTTACTCGATGCTCTCAGATTTAAGTCTGTGTAATACCATAATATATGTGTTGATGGTGCCACTTACAGCCACCACCTTTTTTGTTAAACATTATAGTTTCTTAATTTGTAACCTAATTCTTTTTCTTCTGTTTATTTTAGCTTTACTGTGTAAGCAACTTTTATACTAGTCAGCTGCGTTGAGGAGAGAGATCTTTGTCCAGATCCTGTATAACACAGCACAGAGAAGAACAAGAGCTTCCAGTGAGCAGAGGGATTCAATACTCTTATTTAACACTTACACATGAGGGTTTTACACATTAAAACCATAGCCAAACTAGGCCCAGTTGTGCTGGGGGTTTTACAAACACCTAGCAAATTGCAGCTCCTCTCACAGATGGCACACAGTCTGTGAAAACACCCAGGCTGACCAGAGAGCAGTGCGCTGCGACCGCATCGGGAATGCGGCGGAGCACACGTAACGTGGCACGTCTGGGTTGTAGCCCAGACTCACCCTCACAAGGGTGAGCACCGTCCTTCACCTCATCCCCTCGTTTTGGGCTATACTTTACAAAACTAAAGCATGTTTGTTGAGTAGGGAAATCCCAAGCCTCTGGAAAACAGCAAGTGTGTTCTTCATCTTTGTCTTATGCAAAAAAATGGGAACTAATGCCTTCAACTGCACCGCAATGTCTCTGTCGTTGGACAGCGATATTGCACAATGAATTCACCCACAGTCCGAGCCGTAGGGTTTGCTCCTGATCTGGACGCGCAGACGAGGCAGAACCTAGCCCTCTGTTTACCAGGCAGTAATGTAAAAGCGTCCTGAACCAAGTCCTCCAGGCGAACACAAAGTCGCCGTCCTGCAGAGCCAGCCCGTAACCTGTGATGCTCTGCAGAAGCTGCACATTCTAGAAACCCTACTTCTGGTTCAAAGTTAATCGTGTCCTCCAGTAGTTAACCTTCATTGGTAGCGTTCAGTGAAAGAAATCAACATTGAATCGGTAATTCTACCAGCAACAATAATGTCTGTGGAGGGCAGATCCCATCTTTCTTTCTTATCTTCCCAAGATAAAAAAAAATAAATTATAAAATTTAGCAACAGTATCCTTTCATTTTCTTTAAAACAGTGAAATTTTTAACTTTCCTTTTTGTTTTTTCTCTTAACACTAACGGGTGCATAGCTGCAGCCAGGAAAAGACTGGGACAGCTGTATTAGAAAATACACTGCTCATTTTGACAACTATTTATTTTAAGTATACAAGAGATAGCAGATCTGTGGTTTGTTCACAGGACTAAGCATAAATGTTTTGTCAAGTGCTTTGTTCCCAATTCCCTTTAGTTCCCTCTGTGGCAATGGATAACTCTTTCTACTATGCTGCCCTTTTCTTTTAGCTGTAAAACAGGACTAGCACTTACCTTATAAAGGTAACACGAGAATTAGTCGAGTTAAATTCTGCTCTCAGATGCAGCCAAACAATTCCCTGAGCAGATCAGGAGTTATAAACATCCATCTAGGAACGACAAACTCAGCAAAGGGATTTTATGTGGAAAGTGCTTTGAATACGAACAGCATCATATAAATGCTAAGCATCGTTGTATTTATAGCCAACGAAAGAGCTTTTATGACTGTACAGAAAGTCTAAACATTAACTAAAGAATCTGAAATGTCATAGCAAATGAGGTAACTTTCTCCTGCACTTTCAGACAAACACATTGACCTCTCCGTCTTGCCCACTCACTTCGCTCTGTTCTCAATGGCCGTGCAAGGGAAAGTACACCGCGCCCGTGGGTTCACACGGCAACTTGCTCAGCGTGTACTAACCCTGAAGTGAGGACTTGATCAAAATTGTTTCTGAAATAATCTCACTGCATTCCATGAAGACTTTCACCTTTTACGTCTTTGCAACTTAGCAAAGCCAAAGCTGATGTAATGAAATCCATCCTGTGAATGCTTGTTCCATACTAAAATTGCCCGTAACTTTGTAAGACATACGTATTAGCAGCTGAGCTAGGTTCTACGCACAGTGCCATTACCGCATGGCCAAATACTTCTTGTCTCTGAAACAGAATGGCAAAATTCTTTTTTGATCCAAATGGACCTAGTGACCCACGTGTACTGGGGTTAATACTGTTACACGTTAAGTTGTTTTGTGTTGTTCTGGTACCCTACCTTGATTTAACAAGTAGCAGAAAAACTGAACAATCTCTATGACATTTTTGAATATGAGGTCTCAAAATATTTCAAAATGCTGGTGGAGGCACCAGGACTTTTGTTCCTCTTAACAGCAGTTGAAGTCAAAACCAAGTTATGATAAGCAACATATGTGGAAAGCTATTAATAAGAAAGCAGTAGTAAGCAGGGAGAAACTTATTCAGCAAACTCCAAAGATGTCTCAAGCATTTATGTACTCCGTGGTTCTACGAAGACAGTAATTTGCATAGCGACACAGAGGGAGAGCGTATTGCAAGCAGTAGGCATTGGGAAGAGACTGGAACGCTCTAACCTGTTTATGCAGCTAATGTCATTAGCATGTGTGCGCGCGTGTGTGTGTGCAAATGCGTCTGTATAATCTTAACTACCTCACTCTGCATTTTCCAGGAAAAATATTTTGGTGGTTTAGAGGTTTACTATGCCAAAATTTTCTATTATTAATTTCACCTCTCCACTAGTCTTTTACATTGATAAAAGATTTCTCCTTCTAAGGGGCAAGATTTGGAAATGACAAAAAAATATGTATTAAAAGACATATTTCAGGATGAAATTTTATTCAAACCATGTTGCCTCAATTACCATTTGTAATGTGAACCTTATGAGATCAGATCTTGGGGTTAATAGACAACAAATACAAACACACTGTGTTTCAGTTTTCATTCTTCAATGGCTTTCCATTAACGCCTGTCTTCTCTGGAAAATAATACAATGCCACTAATCAAAGCAAAATGTTTGTATGTACGTTTCCCTTACAATCCTCTTTATGTTACATGTTTTGTTGAAGCCCACACGTAAGTGTATTTGTACAACAGAATGTGTCCACTGTATTGTATCTGTGTCAAAAATAAAAACAATACCAACAAAGCAAGCTCTTCAGATCTAAACGTGGTTTTCAGTTAGAAGCAGGTGACAGAAATTGCCTAAAGCAGTGGTTTATCTGTCTGAAAAGCACCTCCGTTGCTACAGCCCCTGAACAGCTACACAAAGGACCACATTCTGCCATCCTTGCTCAAGTGGAGCAGCTCTTCGCTCCAGGAACTCTTCTCTTGGACTGCCTCCATGCAAGGTACGAAATGACACTGCTTGGAATCCTGCCTCATTGAAATCAATGACAGACTGCTTTGAAGTTTCATTTCAGCCAGCATTTTTTAAACTAGTATGAAACACATACAGCAAACCCGACTTTAGAACAAACTGTAAAAATGTATAGTAAAAGCCAAACAAAATTGTAAGGAGCAAGCAAAAATACTGCTAGTTCAAAGAGAAGAAAGGAGATGGAAGTGAATCGTAAAAAACTATGTTTATTATAGATGCATCTTCAAGTACAAGACGCGTTTGTCACTGCTCAAGGATCCGGCCAGCTGATGAGTGGCTGTCCTTCCTTGAGTCAGGCTGAGCGCGTGTCCCCCAAACCTGGCTCAAGCACAACTACTGGAAGACTCATTTTAGGCAGAGGCAGGCACAGTAGGAAAAGGTAAAGACAGAACTGCTGACTGGCCTGCGAATTTGGCATCACAGAGCACCAAATGTGCTTCCCCATGTCCTGTAAGAAAAACTCTTTTCCCAAGAAAGATGCCTTAGTTCTCACTGCCAAAATACATAGTTGTTCCCAAGCCAGACCCAAATCGTTTCTTCACCAACACAGCATTTCATATGCGTCTCTGAGCTGCAGAATTGCTGCTTGTCCTGCAGCTGATTACATGAAAGCATAAAGAGGAACATAATCCTCCTAGATAATGTGGCTATAATGGAGGTCAGAAGCACTGGACGTTAAGGCAGAAGGAAAAGGGATTGGAGCTACCACATAACAGACAAATAAGAAAATTCTGTTCATTAGACTCTGAATCCGAGACCTTCAAAATTACGCCTTCGGTCTCCTGCTCCCTCTGCTGGGCTACATCCACTTCTGCTTTTCACTTCTGAGCCGCCCGGCTCTTTTTCTTCTATCCGAAATGTTTGGACAACTGAACTACACAAAATAATGCACAATTTATTGTAGCTTTATTATGTGGTCCAAAATTATTACCTTTTTATAAAACGACCAACACACAATAAAATGAAATACTGTCAAGTAACCGAAAGAAAACATACTGTAAACACCGATTAATAAAAATTCCCCAAAGAGAAAAACCCAATTAATGCCATTAACATTGTAGTAGAGGTATTTGTTGTTTAAAACTGTTCAGTTAAAATGCAGACATAGAGCTTCTGACTAAAAAAAAAAAATAAAAGTGACCTGAGTTGGAAAATAACCAGAAAATTGAAGAGAAGCAAGCTCTCACCAATTCTTCTTTTCATTACAAAATGAGAATGAAAAATAACAGATGAACAAAAACCCGCTCAGTTCAGACAGGCTTTGCTGCAGCTCAGCGCTCAGCCCCAGGGCAGGAATGAGGAAAGACTCCACGCAGGTCAAAAGCTCTGCTGAAGTCAAACAATTCTGCCTGTTGGCCCTTGGTCAACACGAGGTTCCTCAAACAGCCATGGAATGAGCTCTTGCTCGTGAGGCAGTTTTGCTTCACATCAGCTGAAAAAGAAAGGTGAAATATGTAGAATCTATTTCCAGTGAACTGAAACAATACAGGGATCCAGGTTATTATTCAGCTGCTTCTCCTCCCTCCCAAACAAGAGATAAACCCAACACTGGAGGAGCACCAAGTTCTGTTCATGTTTGGATGATCTGGGACATCCCACATGGACAGTCACTGCTGCCTTCAAGTGTAAGCCACGCACTGGGACAGCTTGTGCTGAGTTAGCAGAAATAATTTGTTCCAGGGGACAATGGGAAACAAGAGAGGGGAAAAGAGAGGAGAAAGCCACTCTACATAGGTGTCTTCTGACTTCAAATTGAATCTGGCAGAATATGAAGCAACAGCCAAGCTGAACAGATTCATGAACTCCGTTGACAAACCAAAACATGAGGTTTGTAGAGAGTCCAGCTCTATTTTTATGTACCACCTGTGAAACAATTCATTCCACTTCTGCAGTATTCAGCTAGACTGAAGAATTTCTCTCTTCTCTATGAACCCTAATCTTTACAGATGGAGCACGGAAAGAACAATTAGTATCACGTTAACCTATTTAAAAAAGTTCACAAGATGTTGATAAGACCAAACATTAATCAAGATCTGGTTAATTAGCATTAATTCCTTTTTCGTAAAGCACCAAAACCTTGTCCAACAGCAGGCTCTGTAACATTTCAAGCTATTATCCCTAAAGCTTTCCAAATACTTAAAAGCTGAGGTTGCCCTTCAGACCTCATCACTCTGTTTTCATGCAAATGGAAATATCTAAACTGATAAACTGTAACAGCTGGTTCAGAGAAAAACTGATATGGGCATTTTATGCTATGTTTAAAAGCATAAGATATTCAAAACCACACAAAGCCTACTTGCTCTCAGTACTGATGCGTTCATTAAAAACTATGCCTGCAAAAAGGCCAACCTCATAGTGTTCAAAATTCAATCCTCTTACTGAATACATTGCCTTGGCTCAACTTATCAACTAATGAGTTGCACAACTTATTCGAAAAGTAATTTAATTATATATTTTTTGTGCTACTATCTTTTACTATTACCATCGTAGCATGACTGACAGACTTCAGAAGGAAATTTGCACAGAGCAAGGGAAATACATGTTCATCTGCAGCAGCTTGACTTCTGCCTGCACAGCCCCTGACACGAAACATCAGCAAAAATAAAGCGGAGAAGAGCACTATGGAAACCTTAGACGAACGTGAAGGAAAGCCTTAATATGAATTTGACTGCAAGAGAACCACACCTCACCACGCACAGGCAGGGATGTTGTGACGTCTGAGAGAGACTGAAAGACAAACCATGTGGAGGAAATCCTTCTCAGAAACTAAGGAGCAGGTTTGTGTAGGAAAGTGATAGGAGTTCAGTTCATCTTGCCAACACACTCAACAGCTAAATGCAGTCCTCCACATAGACAATATACACAAATATTAATACGCTGCGATCTCAGAGACAATGTGGAAAATGACAACCATGATTTATAACTCAGTCATGAAATTCATGAATCAGAGGGAGAAGTGGAGGGAGTGAGGGAGCGAGCACATGTGTTGAGTCATTCTTATGAGAGAGAGTGAGAGCAGGAGGGAGAGAAGGGAAGAGAAATATTATTGTACCTACCAGGATAGCCTCCAACATAAATGGGATTGTTCGTATCTGCAGAGGTTGACTGGATGTAGGGATTATCAGTTTGAACCAAATTCCCATCAATTATCAGCGAAATGCGATGTTTGCTTTTGTTTGCTTGAAGCTTATGCCATTTTCCATCACATAAACTATTTGTGCCTCTTGGTTCATACGTAGCTGTTATTCTGCCAGCTCCATTGTTGACATGGAATAAAATCTGTATAAACAGCCAGATGTCAATAAAGATATAAAGTTAGAAAACATGAACTAATTTGCCTAGATAAAAGCACAATCATCCTGGTGCAGAGATTTCTGTTTTAATAAATGTCTGGTAATTACGTAAAGTTAGTGTTTACTTTGATGGATAAAGTGTGTCCTTATTGAAGTATCTTTAAAATCTAAAAGACTTGGGTCTATCCACGCAATGGTCCATTGGGTTAGCTTGGCATACTTCACTTGGGATTTCAATGTTTCTTACAAATACAAATCAAGTAATTTTCTCACAGAAGCCGAGACTTTAGATCTGAAAGAAGATCCATCATATCTAACTGAAGAGAAAGAGAATGGACTGAAAGCACTTGTCATTGCCAACACATGTATTGATTTATTTAATGTATTTATTTTTCAAAGCAGCAGACATTTCCTCAACTCTGTGGTGAGGATTAATATGTAAATATTAACTGAGAAAGTATGTCCCACAGAAACACTGATATTTAACACTGTCTCTAGCTAGGAAGTTTTGAATAAAAAATGAGCTATTTCTGAGAAAAGGAAATACTTAAAGAGCAATCAAGTATACATTTTTTATGCAGGAGATGAGTGGAGAAGTATGTATTGATTGTTAAAAGGTTTATGGAGCATAATGGCCAGTAGAAGTAGAGAGCGAGTTAATTGCTCATGAATACTGAAGAAAGGATTACAAGACAGCGTGCTTTGTCCATGCAATATGTTTATCAAGGACAAGTGTAGCTCTATAGCAGAAAGAGTATTAAGCTACAAGATACATATATTTGGCCTAATGTACAAGGTGCATAGTACAGGAGGTCACAGTGGCTGCAGACTAACATAAATTACACTAATTAAAAAGGCAAAAAGTTCCAGTTACTTCAGCTAATCTCACATTTTATCATGGGATGATGATGAGAAACCTTGAAACTGAAAGTCTGCCCCAGACCAGTTCTGTGGGGATTCAGTTCAGACATTTTGCCTCCACCACATTTCATTGGTGTCTGTCTAGTGCTACCCAACAGTTCGGCCTCTGTTTTAAGCAAGCCTTGTGAAACGAGTGTGCCAGCCCAGGGCAGCCTACCTTGCCATTTACAATCTCCAGTCCAACAGCATCAACCTTAGCACTGCTGACACCGAGGAGAACGCCATGCACCGCTGTCGTACGAAACTCCAGTGTGATGTTCACATCAGACCGCACTTTGTAACCTTCTCTGACTGAAAAGAAGTTATAAGCTTCTAACAGAAGGCTTGTAACCCACAGTACAAAGTAGAATACATATATTGTCATTAAAAGCTTGTTAATTACTCTGCTGGGATACAACTTTGTGGAACCTTTGGAAAGTAAGTTTTCCAAAGTCATAATTCAGATTTTATACTGGAGAAGATAAATTCCCAAATAAGTTTTCTTTCATTGATTTAATACATTCTATCTCATTTGTAAGAAACAGCAAAGAGCACAAATATAATCTTTCGCTTTACTTCACAAGTCCCCTACAACTTTTGTCTCCACACCCTTTAACAGACCACAACTTAACATCATGAACATGGATATTATTAGCTGAAGAAAGAGGTAGTTCATTTCTTTCCCACTGCTAGAATCATTAGCTCTTTCATTTGCGGAAGACAACCCTTTGCAGAAATAACCACTTTTGGACGTATAAAGAGACTCAGAAATACATATGCAGGGCATGTAGTCTTTGTGTAAGGAGTCAATTAATCACACACGGTTCCAGCAAGACCTAAAAGAGTACATTTTCATTAACATTAATTCAGTAAGGTATTGCTTTCATTTAATGACACTTACCAAGAGCAGCAAAGCCACTCCCATCAAAGAAAGTACCGTCCTGCACTTTTACATAGCATTTATTCACAGCAAAGATGGAGACAGGGCTTTCGTTGTCCAGTTGTTTGCTGTTAATCGTCATGCTACCAATGCAGGCAGGAATACTGTGAGTCACCTAAGCGTATTGAAATATAAGAGTTAATGTGCAATACAAACTGCCGCAACGCTCTCTTGCCGATTCACCTGATGTTACTGTAAATAAAAAATTCTCTGAACAAAACAAAGTAGGATCTAAAATATTTACATAATTACATTTCTATTTTGACATATACATATATAAGGTTACAAACGTACATAATGTCTTAGAGTCAAAATAAATATTGTTTAGAAACATAGTATACACTCTCTATAACATACAGAAAGAATTGTATTTGCTTGAATGTAAGCAGGGATATGCCCAACAGTTAAAAGACATTCCAAACATGCTTCAGCAAATTAACAAGTAAATCAAGATTTTTTTTGTATGATGTTTTGCAAGTATAGGTCAGAGTTCTACCTAGCAAAAGGATTCCTTAGAATTTCTCTCACTATTACTATTTTCAGCAATTGCAGATTCAAAGTATTAAAATATTTGTCAGCCTCATTATCCAATTAAAAAGCATGGGTGAGGAAAGTATGCCCAGGAATTCAGAAACATTCTTATCGTCACTGGAATACTCCCTGAGATAATGGGCTGCACAAGGAGGAAGGCGACAAAACCTACCCTCTAAAAGCACGTCTAAAAAGTATGTTTTAATCTCAGACAGCTAAACCCAGCCTTCAGAGATATTTAAGGCACCCAAATTCCTATCTGAATGCAATAGGACTTCAGTACCAAAATAGCTGAGATTCTAGTTCACATTTTTATGTTGTACTATGAAATATAGGAATTTATATTCTTTATCCATTTTTAACAGAGAGATTGATAGAAGAAAAAAACTATTAAGGGCTATTACTAAAACACAAGCATATATGCTCTAGCTGGAGTCGCTAAGCCATGGAAAGCTAGAAAGATTTATCTGGTAAAGGGTCATTACTTTCTCTGTTGTTTCTTTCCCTTTTTTGCCTCTCAAACAGGATACTGAATTAAATGGGTTTGATGCAGTATACTCATTCTAGTATTGCAAAGTGTCAGAGAAGCCCCAGCACCCCAAACCTCCTTACATTCCCAAGATTCTTTGGCACATAGTCCAGAGGGAGTCCTCCCACGTAGAGCTTCCCCTCCACATCCAAAGTGCTACCATCTCCCAGCGCACTGACCGATACCAATTCCTGTCCGTCCACAATGATTATACCTTTTCTTTTAACATATTCTGTCTTTATCTGGAAAAAAAGAGAGCATGCAAACCTGAATCGGTAAGCTGAATAAGTTACTGAGTCATCATTTGCTGTGGAAGCAAGACAATTTTTCAGTGGTTAGATTGCTTTGACATACAGTACTGAGGCATCCTCTTGAAATTTATTGTGAGGCTGAGGTCATTTCAGAAAGCAACTGAGCAGCTGAGCTGCTTTCTTGCCTCCCCAAGGGCTCACGATGATTGCATGTTGTCCTGCATAAGTTTTTCAGCATCTTAGCAATCATTATTTAAAACCACTAGTTTATTGCCTCAGGATATGAGTGCATCACTGAGTTTGAAGAGAGGAGAACTGGTCTTCTGCAATTATCGTGCTGCCCACCAGCTGAGCCATCTCAGCTCTCTGCAGTCCACTCTCCTACGCTGTAATTTGTGATGGGCAGTGCTGAATTTGCTATGACCAAAAAGATTTCCAGTTCTGTCCATCTTGTTTATTCACGCCCCATGCCTTCCGTGCACTAAAGCAACTACTCACCTGCAGATGAAGGACTTTATTTGAAGTCAGCTAGCGATTTATTCTTCCCTGGTTACTTTCAGTCCCACTCAGAATCCTGACCAGGTTCAACATGAGGTTTCACAAACATTTGGGTTGGTAAGGGGACAGAATGGTACAGCAGGGTGATATGGACAGATGGCAGAGAATGGAAAGAAGTGTTGCCTTTGGCAGCAATGCATGTTAGCTTAAATTGATTGCAGAGCTACTGCAATAATCACCCCCAGCTGTGAAGTATAGTGACTCAGCCTTAGTCTCCAAAAAAAAAAAAAAAGGTTCAAGCTCCTGTTTTTATGTCCTGGGTAGTAAAGGTAGGTCAGCTCTCACATGGAATCTCTTAAAAAGTGGATAGTGTGAGTATGAGTTTTACATGAGCATATTTAATTTTAAACATGCAGCTGTAAATCCTGGAGTGTTCTTCCTTTCAGGGTAGGCAACAGAGCTTAACCGTGATATCTCTCTCTGACAGAAGTTCCCATTTGCTTTATGTTAGTTTTTGCTGGTTTTTCTTCCGCTGATTGTATATGAAAAGCAAAAATAACACTCTGCTGATCCCCGAGGCACCTAGGAGAGGTGGCAGCTTTGTGTCATCAATCACTTTGTCCCACAGAAGCCACTTCCTACAGTTAAGGCTTCACGTATGGACAAGGGAAGGGAAGCTTAGCAGGATGAATATTGTCATCCTCATCTGCCTTAAGGAAAAGTAATGTGGTCAGAGTTGCTTTTAAAACCTACATAGATGACAGTCATTTCTCATGAAGAAAGCCAGAGCCTGCAGCAGGTCGTTGCTCAGAGAAACTGGGCCAACAAAGGCTGACATAGAGTCTTTGTACAGAAGCCCCTGAATGCTATGTGACACCCGAAAGCTCTAGCCATAATTTCTCCTCAAACTCTCCTTATGCCAAGACCTCCCCCTCCACTCATTCCAAATGTCTACCTTTCTCATGTTGCGTCAACCAAAGAGAGGAAAGAGGGTGCTTCCCTGTTAGCACTAGCTGCTATGTCATGGCTCAGGTAATCAAGCGATAAGTGGGAGATGAGAAACTGTGCACTCACAAATCTCTCTCACCCCGTCACACGCTTAGTTGCAGGCCTTTGGTGACATAGTGCATGGAAAGCTCTCTGTGGAAAAATCAAGAGTTTCTAGACCCCACCGTTGGATTCTTCCCTGGTGAAGATGACCATTATCACATAGTTGGTGAACTACTTTATTTCTAAATAATCTGAGATACTTGACAGCAGTTGGATGCTTGAACTGATGCATAATTAATGAGAATTTTAAAAGGAAATAATTATACTCAAAGATAAGTTATCTGAATGGTTTCATGACTAGGTTAAAACCTGTTTGCCTTTGTAACATGGAAAGCACACAGGAAAGGCAGGGAAAAACCACCACAGTAACTCTAGGGAAGAGAAAATGGAGTACAAGATTAGTGACTACCTACCGTATGCCATTTTCCATCACTGATAAGAGCAGGGTGAAAAGCTACTGCTTTTCCTTTGCCTAGATCAAATGAGAAATAGAGCTGTCCCCCATGAAGCTGCAGGGCTGCAAAATCAACCTGGTTCTGGTGAGCCATGTAGTAAATCAGGCCACTGGAGGCGAAGGTTCTGAGATTCAGCTGGACAGAAAGTCTAGACAATAAAAGTTCCATGTTACTGAAAGATATTTCTTCTGCAATGACAAAAAGCTTTTCCAGAGGCAGAGAACAGCCTCAACCAATTTATTATTATGAAAGGAAATTTATTATTACAAAGGCCAGAAAAGTAGAATTTACATTGATTCTAAGAAAGCATGACCTATAATGTATTTCATAATAGAAATCAGCGCTGTACCTGTCAGAGACAGAAAAAGTGCTGGTCACAGAGTGAGCTGGGCTTTAAGAGGGAAAGGCTCAGCTGTTTGTGACTGCAGGCTTGCCTACAGCCCCAAGAAAGGAAGGAATTCCAGGATCATGTGATGGCATCCATTACTATTAGGCAGGCTTGCTGGGATATAATGGGCAGACTGAGAACAGAGGGAGGCTTAAAAGGTAGGGGAGCTGATTGAGCCCATTTATTATGGAGACGCTAGGTTCAGACTACACATTATCAATCCTCTGCAATGTCCTTATGTTCAGTAGTTACAACAGCAGAGGCTTCTGAGTTGAAAGAAGCATACGCAAGTGGCTTGCAGACTGTGGTTTGGGGACCTTGTTGGGAGCCTCTCAAACAAATAAGAGTGGCAGAGAGGCTATCACATGTTAAGTCTCAACAGAATGATTCTTCTCAGTAGTCTTAGCTCCTTCAGTGACCTGAGGAGTGAAGCAGACATGTAAAGGTGCAATTGCAGAAAATTCAGAGGAGAGGGCAAGATGTTGTCTGCACCAGTCAAAGGAGAAGGGACCAGCTGAGCTCTGTTTGTGGAAAACAGAAATCAAAATACTTACACAGAAGGTACAACGGGGCTCTTAACTCTGAGAGGGGAAAAAAATGCAGAACTCTGGCCAGAAGTTAAAACTCAAGACCACAAACGTGGGCAAGATACATTAATTACATTGCAGTGGTCGTGATACCTTGTTCCATGAGGACCCCACAGAAAACTGAAGCGATGGCCATTTTCAAAGCTGGAAATGCAGTGATCATTCATGAAAACCATCACTGTGCTTCTTGTAGCTCAATACAAGATAACACTGCGTGCATGTGTGATTCAGGATATACTCACTTCTTCCTGACAGCAGACTGATTGAAGAGCAGTGTCAAGTGGCTGCCTTTGGCAAGTCCAAACTGATGGGCACCTTGAACATGATCAGGTACCTCATCTTTTGCACAAACTACCTGTTAATGAAAGGACTTTATTAAGAATAGTGTCAGGTGCTGACCAGCAAGTGCTGAATGGCAATGTGCCTATGCAGAACTTTGTAAGGAGCAAAACTGAGCCACACAACCACAAAGTATACAGCAACATCAATTAGCTAAACTCCCAATCCTTCTGAGCTACCTTTAGGCTCAGAAACAACTAGTTCTAATGATTAAGCTACATCTCATGGACAGCACTGGTCTTTTCTACTGAGAAATGTTTGTAGTTTGAGAAGTATTCACCATTTGTCTTAATTGATAGCCCTTTTGATAACAAATGCTGGAAAACAGAGTATAACTTCAGTCTGAAAATCTTATGGACTTGGTAGAAATATTTTCCCATTTAGTAAGGATGCACATTTTTGTTATGATTTGGGGGATGGAGAGAGGAGTAACAGAGTAAGAGCCAAAGCTATACTTCAACTCTAAGAAGGACAGCTTATCTCTTTTTATAGCCAGAGTTGTATGAAATGTATAAAATCCTGCTTTGTGTTGCCACAGAAAAATGATTTCAGGATGCTTTGGAAACACTTCATTATAAAGATGTGCATCTGCAGAAGGAGAGAAGTAATGCTGCCTTCTCCCTTGGGAACAGGGGATGCATGAGAGGAAACAGGTGCCATGCAAACTGCATTCGGGCGCTGTGTGTCTCTGGAATGGTTTGTGCTTCCTCTTTCACATGGAGCAGAGACTGCATGTGTGTGCCCAGGAAAACGTGAATACTGAATTGCACAGCTAATGCAAATCTCAGCACAGAGCCACTTTGGCAGGAGCACACTAAAGATAATAGTTACTGTCAAGTCCTTCTGCTGGGGAATTATCATTCCACTTTTTCCTTTTTTAGTGTTGCTGCCTGAACAACGATAAACCTAACTACATTTCCCTTCCAAAAGGCCAACAGGCTGCACAAAGGTTTGTATCACAGTTTTTCTATAAGAAATAATAATTTCAAATCCACATTCATTGAACCATGCTATACCACAGAAGCAGCAAATATACACAGTCCATACTTTGAAAATTCTCCACAAAGCTAAAATGCATCTTGCTTCTTTCCTAGAAGAGGCAATAGAGCTTTGCTGTAACACATACTTTTTTTGTATCTGTAAGAGGCCTCAGGGGAACTGGTAAAGCCTGAAGTTCAGGGTGAATCCCAATGCCTTCTGGCTGTATGGCTGGTTTAGGCTTCTCTGACAAAAAGCAGCTGTCCATATCCACGTGTTCATACTTCATGGAAGTGGTGAAATACAAAAGCCTGTTTTTTGAAAAAAAACAAACAAAACCAAAAAAAACCAAAGTGTATTTTAAGAGGTGAAATCCCAAATCCTTATATTTCCGAAGCACAAAGAGACTATTTTACAGGGTCTTTCACTAGTAACAGGAAAAAGGGAAAGACGTGGCATGCTGGGACAAAAGATTGAGAAGTGGCAAATAATCTGTCCATAGAACAATATTAATAGGCAATATTCTTGGAAAACTATTCTGTCTGTGAATGCAGATAAAACTATGGTAGAGAAAGCTGCATTTTGCGCAGCATCTCTATACTCATTAAAGACATTTTTAATGCTATTTGGAAGTGTAGCTTGTAATATCCATATTCTGCCTGTTATAACACCCAGATCATCAGTATCATGCTTGTCGTATGTTAAAAACCAGGCAAAATGGACAATGTCATTAAGGAAGTTACAAACTACAATTAATAATTACTATAGACAGTTTTAGAAAACAGGGCAGTTACCCCTCTGACTTACTCCTTGTTAAAAATAAGGTTGCTGATACAGCCATGAAAGGAGCCAGCCATTTTTAGCCCTAAAATGCCCTCTCCTGCTGGAATGCCACCAGCATAGAAGTTGGAAATATTCATGGGGCTCATTTCTGCTGATGAACCAAGCCTCAATTCTGCAGGGTTACTTTCATCCACCTGTACAGTTATGATCCTGAAAAAGACAAAGTAGGGAAAACATTCAACAAGGCCCTTAGACATTCATTTTCAAATGAAAAGCATTCCTTTCAGCCTCAAAAATGTCTTAAGAAATAAAGATTCCATCACTTTGATAATCCTTTCAATGTCTTAGAACTAGAAGACCTTCTTCAGCTAATTTTTAAACATGTAGAGTTCTGTCAAATATTTTTCCAAATTATTCTGATGGCTGTTTTTTTTTCTAATATTATTTAGTATACTTTACTCAAGTGGCCCAAGCTGTCCAGAGATTTTGAGAGCTTTTAACTGCAACTTCAGAGGCTGTATGCTGTATACAATTACCATGTAAATCAGAACACCTCCACATTAACAGCAGAAAAAACACAGTCCTGATTGCTTCACCTAATGAGCTAGCAAAAGCAGTTCCTCAGAGCGTGCAGTGAGCTGACAACAACACACAGTAATTAAACAGGTAGTACAGTTTGCAGCCACACGTACCTCTTATTCCGGATTAGGATGACAGAGTGTTCTTGTCCATCACTGTACGTTCCATTAGCAGACTGAAGAATTACTTTTCTAGTAGTTCCTCTATCTCCAGCATTAACATGCACTGCAAGATGACCATCAGTCAGCATGATGGAAAAGAAGGGCTGTGGATTTAATCAGAAGATTAATTTTTAACTATAATTCAATTCCTCGTCATTCATTTAGTGTTTAAGCAGAACATACTTTGGAAAAATTTATATCCAACTTTGTTGTAAACAAACTTTTTAATGAAACTCAGACTAGTAGACATGTATTGGTACCTCTCAGAGTGCAGCGTCTTCCAACAGAAAACATGAAAGCTGGAAGTTTCTTTGGTCATCATAAAAATTCATGTTAAAATGCAGGAGTTTTTTTATACCACCACCACCCCACTCCTGTCCTTTAGAGGAAGGAAATAATGAGGGGCAGGTGTTCTGACTAAGACTTTGTCCTTGGACTCCAGGAGCTCCAAAACAGTCCACCAGATAAGAGACAGCTGTTCATCTCAAATCCTTCAATAACTACTTCTGACTAACAGAAGTGGAAAGTAATACACTGCGTGCATTTCATGTGCAGTTTTCCTCCTTGTTGCAAGGGCGTTCTGGGTCCTAGTAACGGTAATAGGTCTCTGCTAACTGATCCTTCACCTCTTCTCTACTACAATGAATATCCTCTGTTCCCCACCTAGCCCCTGTATTTGGGCCTTCCTAAGCGGAATTATTTTTTCTCATTCTTTGCAAGTTACAGTCATAAAAACCTGACTTGATATTACAAAATGAAAATGGCAAAAGCAAAACCAAAACCAAAATGTCTTTGTTTTTAGTACTTGCCAAATGTGCTTGTCTACGTCGTCGCTTTTCCAGTCCCCTGCTGAGTCCAGCAAGGATGATACCGCTGCTGTTCTTTGTGGCAAAAGTTGCCATCAGTTCTGATTCTGGGCTTAAGGACTTCGGTGCCAACTCAATATATCCATTGTTCAAGATGTTCACATTACGAATAGGCTATTTTAAGAGGAAGAGAAATAATTACTGACTTTTTC